TGCTTCGCGCAGACAGACGCTCTTGGAACCTGCGAAGAGCCCATTTCGGCGTTCTCTGCAGGCCTCAAGTTTCTGGCATGAGAAAAAACAGGCATGAGCCATGTGAAAAAAATGCCGTGCGTTGACCAGTAGCATGCTCACGAGTAGAGTTTGGTGAAGCGCAAAAGAAAATCCAAATAGTCGCTCGTCACGTCAAAAGTGTTTCGATCCGAAGGGCCAGTGTCTGTGCACACGAACGTCCGACTAGGAACATCAAAGATGGATGCTTTCTCGAGTTTGCAAGACTGTGCACGAGAGCCGGACAAATGTGGTTCAGAACGCTGTGTTCCCTTGCAACAGCATTGCGAAGATTACTCACGCTACAAAGATGGTCGCAGAGATCCTCTAGCGTTTCGACCACGCTGGGTTGAACAAGGCCCATTTGCACCTTGGAAAAGGCAATATTGGCGCTCGTGTCGAAGATAGAAGTAATGTGGAAGCTCAGTTTCACATCCGTATCCAACGAAATAGCACCCATCAACGCAGGAGGGACCGCCTGCGCCTTCCTGGACTCGTCCAATGCTCCTCGTGCATCGATGGCCGAAGCAACGTGCTCTGATCCTCCTGCTGCTCTGAACGCGCTCTGACCCGGATGCGGAGACGAAAGGCCAGATGGTGTGGCCGTTCCGGTCGCATGCTTGCCGAAAGCGCTTCCCGTCATCTCCTTGGTCGAGCCAAAGCCTGATGCACCTCCGCCCGCAGATCCCAAGGCGTCTGTTGAGTTGGTCATAGACGTAACCCCAGCCAAATTCCTCGCGGTGGCTTCCGCGCTGAGCACATCCGTGCCCTCGCTCGGCTCGGCAGATCCTTCCATGGCAGCCAGATCCACCGTGGGCGATTGCAAAATGTCGATGCCGCTAGGCGCAAAGGTGAAGGAAGCCGAAGCGTCTGCCAGATTGTCGTACACGCGCTGCTTCACGTCGTGTTCCGTATCATCCCTGTAATCGTCGCTCAAGCCGTCCACCTTGTGAACAAAGATGTGGAATTGGATCTCTGGATTGTGGGCGTACGCTTCGATGAGAATTCCGTGCAAGCGACTGACAGAGTCGATCAAATCGTCCTGGAGCACAGAGAGAAGCAGCGAGCGGGTGGTGAGTGCGCATCTCGAGTGGATTCCAAAAAGGAATGTTGTGCGAGCCAGCATCCTTCCAGACGGACACGGACACGATCCGCGAAGGAGCGGCTCGATGCGCATCGCATCCGAAAACTCACCTGAGCATCGATGACCCACACCACCGCTCCTGTCTGAGTCCAACGGAGCTGACCCGCAGTCCCAGCAGCAAAGCCTTGCCAACCAGCGTTGCCTTTACTAGCATCACCACCGGCATTCGAAGTGCCTTGTTGCTGAGCATGAAGCACTTGTGCGCTGCTACCGCTACCTTCGGCCCCAACAGCCAGTCCAGGAGTGTCCCAAACCTTGACCTTTGTCCAGATGTCCAGATCCAAGTAAGAGGGCCGAGCGGTGGAATCGATAAAGAGCGTGTCGTTTGCTGGGAGCTGTTTGTAGAGGTATGAGACGAGAGAGGATTTGCCTGATCGGCGTAGACCTAGCAGAAGAATATTTTGCCGATCGTTGCTGCTACCTGCAGCGGAGACTGACGAACTGGCATTGGCATTGGCATTGGCGTGGGCTGACGGAGCGAGAGCGGTGGGCATGATGGCTTCCTAGAGAGCTGCAAGGCACTGATGGAAGGGATTGCTACGTGTCGGGTGAATTTGTGCGTCGGCGTATGTCACAAAAGGGCAGGATAGAGGCGCGCGGAGCGAGTGGAGGGAGATACTGTAGATGGGTGAGAAAGTGCGGCAGGTGTGCTGTTGGATAGCGAATGCGGTAGGTGTGCTCCAAGTCAGCTGCGCATGTCAGTCGCGAAATCGAAATGCGAATATCACGAATGACGAATCGTGAATGTGACGACAGCGTCTTGTAGAGAGGCAGCATGAGTAGTGAGTAGATGGATGCATGGATGCATGGCTGCAACAGCCCCGATGTGAATCGCGCATAGCTTATCAGCCAGCAGTACGAGTCGCGCGCAGTTGAAATACCATGCTGATGGTGAGTCAGTCATATGCGCGCATGCAATCACGAATACCGGTAATTTTGAACTTCGTACTGCCATTCACATTCACGATTGTGACTTGCATGTCCGCGCGATGACCGCGGAACTTTCAATCTTGAATGTATGTGAATCACGAATGGTGATGAAGCGAAGGAGCGATCCCACTGTCACGGCTCACCGCTATCGTTCCTTCGCTCTTTCATTCAAGATTCACGTGATTACCGGCGCAAGCATACATCCGCGTGACTCACACACGCACGGCTCATCAACATTCGTGATTCAAGAATTTGAATGTCGCGCCACTTTTGTGCATCACTCGGTCGATCAAGGGAGAGACTCGAGACTCGAGACTCGAGACTCTGGCAGCAGGCATCATGTAGCCGTATCTTATTCAACGACTTCTCCAAAAGCAGAGAGAGACGTGCGACGTGAGTGAAGTGCATGGAGGTCACAACACTCGCGAACATTCGGTGCGCGGGGGGTGGCGAATCACAACAAAGCGTCGCAGAAAGCCTTGTGATGTGCAATCAATCGCCAATCGTGAGTCTGGGAGGAAAGCTTGAATCTCCCTGAGTTGGCTGGGCAGACTCGACAAAATGCAACCTGGTAAGTCGGGCTCGATCGAGTCAAGAGTGGAGACTAGAGCTCCACACTGAGCTTGCTCCGATTCTCAGTACGACAAGTGTCTCGGCCAGAGTATAGTGATGTCGGTGTATACCGATTAGGAGTCAAACACTCACGCTTCAACACTTCTCAGACTCGTGAATCGTGACTCGTGACTCGTGACTCGTGACTGCACATGTATATAGAGTGCCGTGCAAGCGTGGTCTGCGTATGCCTCACCCTACCCCTCTCCATGTATAGAGAACTTCTTACTCCGCCAGCTGGGCCAATCGTGACCGAATCACGGATTAGAATACACAATTAACAGCTACACTACTTGTCCCGTTGAGAACGACCCTCAAATCGCTCCTTGTCACCATGCAAGCGATAGCGTCATCGATGTTGAGTAATGATTTGCTTTGTTGTTGAAGATGGAGAAGAGGTGGATGGTGCTTGTGCTTGTGCTTGTGCTTGTGCTTGTGCTTGTGCTTGTGCTTGTGCTTGTGCTTGTGCTTGTCGGTGCCTGATGTCCTGCATCTCGGAGCTCCATATATTCGACTTCTGACTATACAATCAGAGTCACGTGGATCATGAATGAATCGCCCATGCGGACATGCATGTAGCGTAGCACACGT